ATGGTTGTTAGCATAGTCACGTGATGGTTGTTACCATAGTCACGTGATGGTTGTTAGCATAGTCACGTGATGGTTGTTACCATAGTCACGTGATGGTTGTTAGCATGGTCACGTGATGGTTGTTAGCATAATCACGTGATGGTTGTTAGCATGGTCACGTGATTGTTGTTAGCATAGTCACGTGATGGTTGTTACCATAGTCACGTGATGGTTGTTACCATAGTCACGTGATGGTTGTTACCATAGTCACGTGATGGTTGTTACCATAGTCACGTGATGGTTGTTACCATAGTCACGTGATGGTTGCTAGCATAGTCACGTGATGGTTGTTACCATAGTCACGTGATGGTTGTTAACATAGTCACGTGATGGTTGTTACCATAGTAACGTGATGGTTGTTACCATAGTCACGTGATGGTTTTTACCATAGTCACGTGATGGTTGTTACCATAATCACGTGATGGTTGTTACCATAGTCACGTGATGGTTGTTACCATAGTCACGTGATGGTTGTTACCATAGTCACGTGATGGTTGTTACCATAGTTACGTGATGGTTGTTACCATAGTCACGTGATGGTTGCTAGCATAGTCAGGTGATGGTTGTTAGCATAGTCACGTGATGGTTGTTAGCATAGTCACGTGATGGTTGTTACCATAGTCACGTGATGGTTGTTACCATAGTCGCGTGATGGTTGTTACCATAGTCACGTGATGGTTGCTAGCATAGTCAGGTGATGGTTGTTAGCATAGTCACGTGATGGTTGTTACCATAGTCACCTGATGGTTGTTACCATATTCACGTGATGGTTGTTACCATAGTTACGTGATGGTTGTTAGCATAGTTACGTGATGGTTGTTATCATAGTCACGTGATGGTTGCTAGCATAGTCAGGTGATGGTTGTTACCATAGTCACGTGATGGTTGCTAGCATAGTCAGGTGATGGTTGTTACCATAGTTACGTGATGGTTGCTAGCATAGTCAGGTGATGGTTGTTAGCATAGTCACGTGATGGTTGTTACCATAGTCACGTGATGGTTGTTACCATAGTCACGTGATGGTTGTTACCATAGTCACGTGATGGTTGTTACCATAGTCACTGGTGATCCACCATCTCTCCCCCTCCTCCCGCCACTATCCTTCTATGTTAATATATAAAACTTGGAGCTGTCCTCTAGACGTTGTTTTAATACCTCTGCGACAAAGGACATTAACTGTCATGTGTAAAGAATAGAAAGACAAAAGGAGGGCAGGGACCTGCCGGGAGGGGGCTTTGTCTCTCGGACACTATATTATAATGTACATAATATAATTCTTACTTAGGGCACACATTCTATCAGCTTATACGTACGTGTGCTGGCAGAGGGGGGGGGGGGGGGGGTGAGGGGAGGGGAGGTGAGGGGAGGGGAGGGGAGGGGAGGTGAGGTGAGGTGAGGGGAGGGGAGGGGAAGTGAGGGGAAGGGAGGGGAAGGGAGGGGGGGGGGGGAGGGGAGGGGAGGGGAGGGGAGGGGAGGTGAGGTGAGGTGAGGTGAGGGGAGGTGAGGGGAGGGGAGGGGAGGGGAGGGGAGGGGAGGGGAGGGGAGGGGAGGGGAGGGGAGGGGAGGGGAGGGGAGGGGAGGGGAGGGGAGGAGAGGAGAAGTAAAAGTACCTAGATCAGTATGGTACGTACAAGTAAAGGTACTATACTAGTTGAGTAGTACTCTAGGAATTATAACAGGAGATTTAGCTGAGGCAAAATAACAAAGTTACTGAGAAGATCACTGAGCCTGTGGTCAGTGTGTAAATTTAGTTGCCCTCAAATTTTATTTTCTTATTTATTTAGGAAGGTTATCATAGATCGAGGTTATATATAACCTCGATTAATTAGTATAATATAATATATATATATATATATTATATATATATATATAATATATATATATATATATATATTATATTATACTAATTATAATTATAATTATACAGGATAGCTTGTCACATAACCATGACAACAATGTCAGAGTAACTGTGATTCCCACTAATTGTGGTAATGTTACTAAATTATGGATTTGTGTTCACAATGGTCACTAAAAGGATGAGTATCAGGGTGTACCACATAAAGTGTATAAAGTGTTACACGATATAAATATTACAATAGTCATTTATTCAATTTCAAACAACTCAACAATCCAACACTGAACCGATTGAACTGTTATTTTGAACAAGGAAAGGACAGTAGCGATCACGTACTGACCTCCTATTGGATGAGAGCCAAGACGCAGCTGCTCCAAACATAGTTTCTAGACTAGTAGGAGCTTTAAAATAGTCCATTACATAACACGTGACCATGAAAACATATCACGTGATAGTGAAACACGTGGTCCATAACCATGGCAACATATCACGTGATAGTGAAACACGTGGTCCGTAACCATGGCAACTGGGACGCTGCATCCTGAGCCAGACACAGGATCCTCTGTACAGGTTCTCAAGGCTAATGACAACATAAAAAGATGAAACGGCAAACTTACTTTATTAGGCGTAAATATAGCCAGCTGTATAGTGGTGATATGTGTAACATTTTATTTTCAGATAATTTGTTCTACACCTGCATGTCCTGAAGTTTACCATGGATAACAATATGCAATATACCAGGTAACTAAAGTATGACATATGCTTTATACATAATTATACATAATTATACATAATTATACATAATTAATATTCGAAAAGGGTATTATGACTAATGACCAATACAGGCTCGCCTTGGGGCACTGTGCTTCTGATCATTTTTTGCCTCGACTGTGCCCCAACTGTATTTGCCCCGACTATGCCCGAAGTAACTGTGACCCAGGAATTTCAATATTGTGCCCCAGGTGTGCCTAGCTAGATTACCAACTGGCCATCAAGTGCGTTAAAAATCTGACGCCAGAAATGCAATCATATAAATCATTTACTGATAACAGGAACAGAATAAAGCAAAACACGGAAACCAAGCTGATGTAAATATTGGCTGAAGTTGGCTACGTCTTGGTTACACACATACGGTTAATATCATAGTAGAAATAAGGGAACTTATTGCATTTCGTAGTACAATATTCATTGCACATAATACCAATTAGCCCATTCTCTCTGTCTACACGTGACGTTTATGGCCCACTGAGAGCCCGGATCGTCGTGCAGCGCGCACGTGCGATGATTTGACTTCCGGTAAACGTGGTATGCATACATTGTACATTTAATAGACACTGTGTGGGACATGGAACAGAAACAACCGGATATGTACCACGAACTTTTAGAATTTAATATTTATACTTATAAAGTATACTTATGAATTCATGTTGTTGGTTGTACTACCGGCCGTAAAAATAGGCGACATGATATGTTAACTTCATAACTTGCAGCATTATCACGCGGGAAGTGTACACAATACGGTTTGACACTTGCAGGTTTATTACCTACCAAGACGCGCGCCGAGTTGGACTCGTCGACAGTCTTGTATTTGGTCTAATATTTGAACAAATATTCTAAACAATGTATAGAACTAGAAATGATGAAGAAAATAAAGTCAATATTTTTATCAAACTATCGTGAATGAAAATTTAATAAAATCACATTCATAATCATCAGTATCTTCAGTAAAACTTCAAATCAACTCAAAACTTAATGAAACTTAAAAGCACTCCATCATTATAACATAGTTATACTCCTTCATAATATTATAACATAGTTTTAAAGTTTTAAAAACTGTATATATTTCCCCATAATTACAAACATAGGGGGGGGGGGGGGGGGGGTCCACGTTAAAAAAAGTTAAAAAAGTTAAACTAATTAATGTTAAATTTCAAAATTCAGACTTAGAAAGTTTAACTTTTTTAACATAAATTCAAATTTGGGTTGAAATTGCAATGGAGTGAATATTCTAGACTAGTTTACTTTTAGGTCATGCGTTGGTATTTTTGTTCATTAGTCATTACATGTAGGAATATAGGAATGCCCATGACAAGAGTAAAACAGTCATATAACATAGGTACAACCGATAAATAATTGATACATTTGATCATTACAATAATAAATTATAATTCATAGAAATATAAACAGCTGATTCATAAATAATTTTTAAAAAACAACAGATTCCATTCACAGTGTCAACACTGAAAATAGGGCTATGATAATCTATGTCATTAAATCTAGTGATACTAATCGTAATGAATTAATAACTGAATAAAATTCTAATGATGTTTCATAAAAGTTATCGCTTAAACAAAGAGTCACTGTGTCACGATATTATATTACAAAATTTAAAATAGTGTCTAATGATATTTCATAAAAGTTATCGCTCAAACAATGAGTCAATTTGTCACGATATTATATTACAAAGTTAAAAAGAGTCACGTCTAATGATGTTTCAATGTAAAAGTTATCGTTCAAACAATTTGTCAATATATTATATTACAAAATTAAAAAACAGTGTCAATGAAGTAAAAATTTTACAGGTGTTACTGTAATAACGTTAGGGGGGGTACCAATGGCATAAAATGGCATAAATGGCATACGTTTTATGGCATAAATGGAAATTTTTATTGGCCAATTCTCCATTATGCCATTTATGCCATTGGTACCCCCCCCCCTAACGTTAATAAAAGAACTTGAGGTTCTAATTTGAAGTTACTTATATCATTTAACCTGAATATAAAAGTCTATCATTAAAATAATTTTCACTATAGTGCAGCCGAGTCCTTATCGTCGTTCATATATTTTAGAACTTCACTTGTAATACGATTAACATCATATAATAATACGGTTGAGGAATCTTCATTATATCACGACATACATCATTATTCAGTAATGAAAATAGATGTTCCTCAATAATCTCTTCCTCGGACATTCCTGATGTCCCAAGACTAGGGAGGCTACCTCTTATGGCCAAACAACTGGCTAAAAAAAGCACAAATCCTTCAGTACTGATCCTGAGATCGCTGAACTGTCACTTGAACGCAAGCAGCTGATGATTGCGAATATGCAGAGAAAATTCCCGACCAACAGGAAGCATGTCAAGACCAACATCAACCAGCTGAGACGTAAGATTACAAAGAGACTCAGAGATATCAACAACCGCAGTGCTGACACACTCGTCGAAGAGGTAAACAACACAGACGACGCCCGGAGATACTTTGGAGCCTCTAAGATACTCGCCAAAGGATATGTTAGACCAGCTCTAACCGTCCACAACCCTGCTGGGAATATCGCAGGTACTAATTAGGAGAAAGCGAGGATTATTAAGGAGTACTTTGAAGCTGAGTTCAACGACGCTGATGAGCCTACCCTTTCTGCCTTCCTTGACCCCCCATCTAGCCTTAACAGTCCCATCACCGTTGGGGGGGGGGTCCAACCCGATCCATTCCGATCATTCCGATCCCGATTTTGGCCTCATCAACCCTCATATCGGAAAAATCGGGAAAATTTAAATCTTCCCTCTGAGGTTTCTAGGCGATATAGGTAGCTATTTCTGTACTTAAATATGACAAGAAATCGATTGGTGGTGGTCCCAGAACTCCAAAATGGTATCTTGTTCCAAACAAGAATCGTTTCGTCCGAAAAACAACACAATGTCGAATCAACTCTTGTTTGACAGAAACATCCACCCCGGTCCACAATTGAAAGAGGTACGGTTGGTAATAACAATCGTAACAAATAGCGAACGCTTTAGTAACTTTTGATTTAAATTGTCTCCACAATTTGTCTCCACAATTTGTAACAGGCTATCTGCAGAAATGGGTAGCACGGTTAATGACTATGGTCCTTTCTCAAACTTCCAATCCTCAGTTAGATACAAAGAATAGTCTACACAATTTTCAATAACATTAAAAGGGATGAAAATCACTTTATTTATCAAAATCTTTATTTATCATGTAACAACTTTTCCATAGTACTGGAGAGTAAAACTCTATTAAACAAAAAAATTCTCGAGCACATTTTGAGTCAGTAACAGTAACATGTCAATATGTTACAGACTCAAATGCGTTTAAAAACATTTTAGTAACAATAAATTGTGTAAACTGATGAGGAGGAGGAGGACTGAGGAGAAGGAGGACTGAGGAGGACAGAGGAGGAAGACTGAGGAGGACCAGGACGAGCACTAGGAGGATGAGGACGAGGACTAAGGACGAGGACTAGGAGGATAAGGAAGAGGACTAAGGACGATGAGGACGAGGAGGAGGACGACTGAGGAAGAGGACTGATTAGGAGGAGGACTGATTAGGAGGAGAAGGAAGAGAAGAAGGAGGAGAATGAGGAAGAGAACTGAGGAGGAGGAGGAGAAGGAGGAAGACTGAGGAGAAAGAGGAGGACCGAGAAGGACTGAGGAGGAGGACTGAAGAGGAGAGGGAGGACTGAGGAAGAGGAGCATGATTGGTGGAGGAAGACGAGAATGAGGAGAAGGAGGAGGACGAGAGCGAGGACGAGGAGGAAGACTGAGGAGGAGGACTGTTAAAAAGGAGAAGGACGAGGACTGAGGAGGAGGACTGAGGATGAGGAGAAGGAGGACTGGGGGAGGACTAAGGACGAGGAGGACTGAGGAGGAGGACTGAGGATGAGGAGGAGGACTGAGGATGAGGAGGAGGAGAAGGAGGACTGGGGAGGACTGAGGAAGAGGAGGACTGAGGAGGAGGACTGAGGATGAGGAGGAGGACTGAGGATGAGGAGGAGGAGAAGGAGGACTGGGGAGGACTGAGGAAGAGGAGGACTTAGGGAGGACTGAGGAGGAGGAGGACTGAGGAGAATGATGAGGAGGAGGACTGAGGATGAGGAGGAGGAGAAGGAGGACTGGGGAAGGACTGATGAGGAGGAGGACTGGGGGAGGACTGAGGAGCAGGAGGATGACTTAGGAGTAGGAGGAGAAGGAGGAGAAGGAGGAAAAGGATGAGAGGGAGGAGGAGGACTGAGGAGGAGGAGGAGGAGGACTTAGGAGTAGGAGGAGAAGAAGGAGAAGGAGGACTGGCGAGGAGGACTGACGAGTAGGAGGAAGAGGAGGACTGAGGAGGAACAAGATGAGGACTGAAGAGGATGAGGAGGATGAGAAGGAGGACTGGGGGAGGACTGAGGAAGAGGAGGACTTGGGGAGGAGGATGAGGAGGAGAAGACTGATGAGGACGAGGAGGACTGAGGAGGAAGACTGAGGAGGATGAGGACGAGGACTAAGGACGAGGACTAGGAGGATGAGGACAAGGGCTAATGAAGAGGAGGAGGACGACTGAGGAGGAGGACTGATTAGGAGGAGAATGAAAAGGAGAAGGAGGAGGAGGATGAGGAGGAGGACTGGGGGAGGACTCAGGAGGAAGAGGATGATGACTGAGGAGGAGGATGAGGACTCAGGAGGAGGACTCAGGAGGTGGACTCAGGAGGTGGAGGAGGATGAGAAGGACTCAGGAGGAGGAGGACGACTATGAGGAGGACTGAGGAGGACTGATGGGGAGGAGAAGGAGGATCAGGAGGAGAAATGAGGATCAGGAGGAGGAGAAGGAGAAGGAGAAGGAGGAGGACTGGGAGTAGGACTGAGGAGGAGAAGGGGATTGAGGAGGAAGGTGAGGAGGACTGAGGAGAAGGACGAGGACGAGGAGTCAGGAAGAGGACTGAAGAGGACTCAGGAGGAGAAGGACTCAGGAGGAGGAAGACTTAGGAGGAGGAGGAGGACATCTAAATGTTTTGTCTGTTTTTGTCCGTTTTTGTCCACCCTACTTTTTGTCTGTTTTGAAAATACAGGGTACCGAACGGACACAAAACATGATCCCCCAGCCAAGCATGTGTTACGATACAAATGTACTTGACTATACATTTAAGGTGCAGTGTACTAGTGATATTATGGTATGTTTAAAGACCGGACCACAAAATATAACCCGGTACCTAGTGTTGTACTAATACATAATAACAAGTAACAGGGATAAAATTAATGAGCAGAAACAATCGATCTCACGTCAAGAGGCCAAAGCACTCGGGTCTGGGAGTACATGACAACTCCAACTAGTAGTGAGCATACTAGCCCCTGCAGTGGAAAAACACATAAAACATACTATTGGAATGTCCAATTAGTTCGTTTTCTCATAACAATATAGCATATGTAGGGGTTCTGGTTGAATTATATCACTTCTGAGAGGTTTTAGAGATCGATTCTCTAAAATTTCTCAATTTTCCGATTTTTCCGATTTTTCCGATTCCGATTTTGGCCTCATCAACCCTCATATCGGACATCGGGTTGGACCCCCCCCACCGTTGCAGAGATAGAGAGAGCCATCAGTAAACTCAAGTCTGGTAAAGCAGTGGGTATTGATAAAGTTCCTGGCGAGGTCATGAAAGCCCTGAACAACCCCCTCCTTCATGAAGAGCTGGCTAATGTGTTCAACGAGTCTTTCGAGAAAAACATTCACATTGAAGCAATAGGAGCAGGCATCCTCACACCACTGGCTAAGCCTGGTAAAACTCATGGCCCAGTTAAGTCGATACGACCATTGCAATTGACCCTGCTGAATGTTTCTAGAAAGATCCTGTCACTGATAGTGCTAAACAGAATAGAGAGAGCTGTGGACAACTTCACCGGACCGTTCCAAGCTGCCTACAAAGCTGGCAGGAGCTGTGCCGACCTAGTTTGGGCACAGAGCATGCTCATATCTGTAGTAATGAAGAAGGAGTTTGAATGGAACAAAGTGAGTATCGACATGTTAGCTGCCTTCAATACCATCCGCAGAGGTACAACAATCAGACTACTAGAAGCTGCAGGATGCTCCAGAGACGACCTGAGGCTTGTACAATACCTCATGGCTAACACCACTCTAGTAGTCAGAGTGTGTTCTACTGACTCAGAGATGTTCTCTTTCAACATAGGAGCCTCCCAAGGAGACAGCACAGCTGGTAAATTGTTTACCCTCAATCTAGCTGGAGCTGTAGTGCACATAAGAGCAGTCCTCCCCTCAAGACCCAACCCTCCGATAGCCGATAACCACATGCCTCTTGAGTCCGGCTATTCAGACGATTTAGAGGAGATTGGTGAAGATATGGAGGAGTTACAGGATATCTTTCAGATCTCCAAGAATATTCTCAGTGAATGGAGTCTCTTTGTCAATGACACAAAGACAAAGTTTACCAGAGTGTATTTAGAAGAAGTTGGTGCCTGTGACGAGTGGGATAATGAACTAAGAGGAAAAGAGGAGTGGAGAAACGAGACGCTTCTTGGTACTAAGCTTGGATCAGAGCAGGATGTTACTAATAGAATAAATAAAGCTAACTCTGCCTTCTGGTCATTTGACAAGCTGTGGTGCCAGGGATCAGAGAGGAGTCAGATAACTGAGAAGAGAAAGATCAAACTCTACGACTCACTAGTAGTATCAGTGCTCCTGTACAACTGCTGCTGCTGGGCCGTACCTCAGCATGTTCTAGAGTCTGTAGATGTTCTTCAGAGGAAGCACCTCAAGCGCATCCTACACATATATTGGCCTAGCTCAATATCTAACAAGGCCCTCTACGCTCGTACCCAGACCAGGCCCCTTTCCGAGAGAGTGGAAAAGGCACGGTGGACAATGCTAGGTCATGTTCTACGCAGTGACAACGACACACCTGCCTACCAGTCTCTGTTATTTGCTACACTAGGATGTCAAACAGTGGACGAGTGGGTAGACACAGGACTAATTTGTATGATATTATTGTGAAAAAGGACCTATTTAAGAGACAAATTTATTTAAAAAATGAAGATGATTTTACCAACTTAGTGAACTTAGTAAGAGATAGAGTAGGATGGAGGAGTTTATTTACTTTGAGACATATTGAACGAATGAGTCTTCGTAAGCGTAAATAGGCCAGCACTTTGCTGAGCCTCTTTAGGTGCTCTTTTGTTTATAGATGTTATTATATTATATAACTGGCTAAATGGCTCTTTAGATTATGAGAGCATCTATGTTTTGAAACAGAACTTCGATCTGGTTGTTTCACTTTCACACACCCCAATAGGTTCTTTACCTGCTTTAAGACTTCAGGGACTTCATTTTCAATATCTTCCGCGCTATCAATTACATTTAGATATTTATTTGAATCCTGATTATTTTTTATTTCATTCAACGATCTATGCACAAGTTCCTCATCGTCACAACTTTTCAAATTGCTTGGACCTAGTGATCTAGTTAACTCTAGCATTACCGCAATGTGGGAAATAAAGGCAAAAGAATGCTTCACTGTCACATTTGCATGGACATAATTAGTAGACAGCTTTCCTTGTATTTTTGGAATAGATTGAATAGTTTCCGATGACAAGATTGGTTTCACTCTAGCTATTGGGCATGGCTGATGCACAGTATTCTGCACCACATCATCTGTACTCTTTGTTCCATTCTGACATTCCGGGGTAGGTAAAATACTCATCATCCGACGACGTCTTTTCTTAGATTTTAGTCTTAATACCCGCTCCATGGATCGCACAATTGATAACGTAGGACACCTGGATTTTTTTCCTCCGAAAATATTGTATATATTCTGTAGGCAAGCTTCCTCTAAAGAACACCCAAGTCTGAATAAAACCCGTTGAATTGCTTTGGCCTTGATAATCTGGCCAGGTACCATGTCGTTACACTTCCACAATTCAATTTCAAAATTCGTCCTGACCGTGCATCTATCTTTAATCGTTTCGGCATCGAGCGCCTTTCTTCCGGATTTCTCCTTACAAAGTTTGTTTTTCGGCGTGGAAGTGCCATCTTCTGTGGCGAATCTTGTAGAAAGTTTGTTTAAAACAGTCTCTTTCTTCGCAATCACAGGCTTATCACCTTTTCCATCGTGTACTGGCACTTGGCAGTCTAATTGTACTCAGAGAACTTGTTGGAGGAGCATTTCTAGAGTTCAATTTGTCCCGATTTCCCTGCTGATTCTCATTCTTGATTGCAGTTCCACCTTCAATGAGTCGTGTAGACAACTTGTTAAGTGCTGTTTCCTTCTTTGAATTTAACACTTTCTTGCTGCTGTTTATCTTATCAACATCAATTGGTCGTCCAATTGTGGATTTAGAATTGTCTACTGTGGGAGTTCTCGTGGTTAAATTATCAGTGTTAGCCCGCAAATGCTCCTTCTTCTTCAGACCCGTCGATGAAGATTTATCCATAATCGTCAATTTGCTTTGCACCGTCGGTTTCTTATCTTTGGAATCCTAAAAGTAGGGACAGCTCTCCTCTTGAATGAGTTGCTTGTTATTATCGCAGTAGTGATAACATCAGCAGATGATTCGTCTTCAGAATCATATTGAGTTCTAGGTTTTGATGAATCAGCAGCCCTTTTTGAAGTGTTGACAACAACTGATACGTCCTCAGTAGATGGTTCGGGTACAGGGATTACAGCTGGAGGAAGCTCCGGAGTATCAATACCTGATGATGTGTCCTCAGTAGATGGTTCGGGTACAGGGATTACAGCTACAGGAACCCTTCAAGCGAATGAGCGACTCTCCTGATGCCTTCGCTAAATTGCAACGTAAACATCTGTCGTATGTGAGACTTTCCATAACCCTTCCGCACTTACACCGCCAAGCCATATTCTTTTTTCGTATTATATGAATGATTATATTAGTAAATTATACAATTATGTGTATATATAGATACAAGGTGTTTTTTTTGTAGAGTTATCAAATCAGTTACAACTACAGAAAACAATTGCAAGAGCGAGGTACTACTAGTACTAAAGGTCAACACTCATAATTGAGTTTAATTTGGGTAATTATGTTAAAATTTGAACCGATTAGTCAGCCAAAATCTGATTTTTAATTTATGTTAAAAAAGTTTAAAAAGTTAAAGTAATTAATGTTAAATTCCAAAATCTCGATCTTAGAATTTAACTTTTTTAACGTGGACCCCCCCCAACATAAATGATCTTCAAATTAAAAACTTAAAATCGAAACTCAAAAGGGGCGGAGTTCCAGATCTCGTTTGAGTCTCAGAACTTTCTGGCACATCTCGCTATACGTACTCTTGTAGGTGGAGCATGTCTTCTCCAGACCTGAAGTAACCATGGTAACTAATTACTACAGACCTGAAGTAACCATGGTAACTAATAACTACAGACCTGAAGTAACCATGGTAACTAAATACTACAGACCTGAAGTAACCTTGGTAACTAATTACTACAGACCTGAAGTAACCATGCAATGGTAACTAATTACTACAGACCTAAAGTAACCATGGTAACTAATAACTACAGACCTGAAGTAACCATGGTAACCAATTACTATAGACCTGAAGTAACCATGGTAACCAATTACTATAGACCTGAAGTAACCATGGTAACTAATTACTACAGACCTGAAGTAACCGTGGTAACTAATTATTACAGACCTGGGGTAACAATGGTAACTAATTATTACAGACCTGAAGTAACCATGGTAACTAATTACTACAGACCTGAAGCAATATCTGAACCATTTAATTCTTGCTATTATGATTAGAGATTTCTACCAAAAATAGCGAATAATACCCGTGTATGTACTCTTATCTCTAAGTATGACAGACGTACAAATTACATGTAACATAATGAATGATTACTACAAGATGTAACCATGGTAACGATGGATAATTACCAGGGTTACCAGGGTTACCATGGTTACCAGGGTTACCAGGTTACCAGGGTTACCATGGTAACACAGCTGCTAACTAACCGGAGTACTTCTGTTCCCAGAAGTTAGTAGTCTTCTCAGTTAGATTCTTCTGTTTCGCAAGCTTTTCTTTCATCGCTGTAATCTGTACGAAGAAACATTAATGTTTATATGTCTATAAACCGTGTGAGGTGGTATATTTAAACTAAAGTGGAAAATACCAACCAACTATCAAATCAATAAAATCCAACAGATCTTAACTAACCTCTTCCTCCATCCGGGAGTTCTTACTCCGCAAACGTTTCACTTCGTTCTCGGTGTTCTCGAACTTTCGTTGTGTTTCACTGGCTAACTTGGTCAAGTTTGCAATATCTGGGGTTTTTTTTGTGGGACCTTGAGGTGGAAGAGAGTTAATTAACATCTTAAACAGAACAAATAACGCAAAAAAGTAGCAAAAAGGATAAAAACAAAAATGGTATCATTATTTTGAGAAGAGTTACGACCATGTAAAGCTATATACGTACTTCTGTACGGGTTGTTGCTGTTTTTAGTTTTGTAACAGAACGGTTTTAACGCATTCAAAGCATCGCACTGAAAGGAACGTATCTCGTTGATAACAAACACTTGGTTCTGTAGTTGTTTCACCTGGAGCAATGTATAATGTATATTGTATACATAATGTATAATGTATACATTAGGTATATCATTAGTGGCGTAACGTTGTCTGTTGGCGCCCCCCCCCCCCCCCCCCCCGCCGAAAAAAGCGCTCCCCTGTTGGCGCCCCCTCCCCTTTTGGTGCCCCTCCCTAAAATTGAACAAATTAGGTGATTTTAGAGAATACGCCAGTAAAATCTCTAAAAAAGTGTGTATCTAGAGCAAAACGCGCAGTTTTGCTAGTACTTTAGTTAAGTTTTCGAAATTGTCCCACATTCAAACCACGATTTGGCGCCCCCCTAAGACGGCGCCCCCCCCCCCCCCCCCCCCCGCACAGCAGGGTCAGCGGGGGCCTTCGTTACGCCACTGTATATCATATAGTATATTTACAGTTAACAGTAGGAAATCATATTCTTGAGGAGCGACTGTTTGATTGCACATAGAAAAGGGAAAAATAATTATAAAAAAATCAAAATAAAGTGCCGGCCAATGCAGCTGAAATATCGATGATCAATATCATTGATTTATCATGAACGAATGGCATAATGAAGGTACTGTTCCATTCCTTTACCCCGATACCCACGTAACCTAGGTAACCTACCTTGTTACCTAGTTACAAGGTAACCTAGGTAACCTAGGTAACCTAGGTAACCTAGGTAACTTAGGTAACCTACCTTGTTAATCAAGGTCTTATTGTGCTCCGCTACCACAAATAATTCCTTCTGTTTCTCTGCCATCAGTCCGCTGACGCCCTGTAGTATTCAATAAATAAGAAATAAAATGATAAATTTGATTCAAAATATAATAGATGGTAAAAAATAATAATCCTTAAACTTAAATAACCCAGGTAGTTACGTAGCTTCCTTAAGATGCCTTTAACCGATAAGAAGTAGTAAATGAACAATTAGAAAAATAAAAAACCTCCAGATCTAATCATCTAATTGTTTAATTATCTAACCTCGAGGTCAAAGAGACGTCGCGCCTTGTCGTCTAGTTTCTTTTGCAGTTCCTCTACTTTAGAACTGTTCTCTTTCTCGTTCCTTTCCAGCTCACTAGATATGGGTAGTCTCATTAACAAATCATAACTGAGACACAAATGGTTCATTTATAGTCACTGATCTAGTTTTCCTTTGAGTACAACCATGGTCAGCCCCCCCCCCCCCCCTTTTGCTCCTTTTGGTACACATTGAAGTCCAGCAACCCCACTCCGTTTCTTACGAAGCTCAGCATATGCTCTAAAAATTCCAAAGAATATTTATCAATTAATGAGCTTAATAATATTACATGTTGCGTCGTGACAGAACTGCCATCTTCTCGTTCAGCCTCTTCTCGATCTCAAACAGCTGTTTCTGAGAATCCCTGCGTTCCTCCTCACATCTCAGAGTTAAATCAGCTACTTTGGTTTCTGCAGCAGCTAGCTCCAGCTTCTGCCGCTCCCACTCGTCTCTGTATACCTGGGATAGGGTCATGAGTATTTTTGAATCTGAGAATTTGACCATCTTCGCCAGAAATACTCAAAAATGTCTCAAAAATCATTTTTGAACCTGAGAAATTCAGCATGGATTCCTCATTTTCTCAAAAATTTTCCACTCAAAAATAGTGATATACCAAATTATTCTTCAATATTCATATTAGTGCGATGTGGTCCAAAAATACTCAAATCAATTTTTGAGACTGAGTTTTTGCTTCTCCTGGAAACTTTTTTCAAAATACTAAAAAACTCCTCATGTCTGGGAATGTTCTAGTAGGGGGGGGGGGGGGGGGGGGGTCTTATAAAACTGACCTGATTATAAGACCGCTCGTTCTGACACTGCCTAACTTGACTCAGATATCTTCTGTTCCGCCTCTCGTGCTGGAATCTCAGGTATTTCTCCAGCATCAGCTCCCCTTCCAGTACCACTACTGCTGATTGGTTACTCTCTGCAAAAAGGTTGTTAAAGTAATACCACGTTTCTGTTACCCCCTTTATTTAAGAATTGTAAGTCCCTAAAAAGCTTTTCTACAAATCTTTTCTACAGCTTCCTCAAGAGAATTATCGTACCTACCAAAACTATCATTTTCAAATCGGTGGCTGTTTTTTCTGCGGTGGACCATTCCAGGAGAAGATACTAATGTCTTGTCCAAATATGTTGATATCAGACCGTCGCTTATCGTGTTAACTTCTGAAATTTTGAGGAGTTATAGATTCGAACATATCACACGGATAAACTTAAGAAAATCCAACGAACAATAATTCGTTTTCGAACATGGTAAGATCAATGAATCGAGGCTTAAGCATACCTTACAGAATCAGACAGATGATAATATGAGTAAACTGTGACCGACCGCACAAGGCACGCAGCAAGTCGGCCGCGCGCGCGGCGTGGGAAATGTTTATATTAGCTGTAAGTATTTACAATTTCAAAATGTTGCCGCGTCTTACGAATATGTTGACAATATTAATGTCCCACTGAGACCATTGGTCCGTTTTGCCAGAATGAAAATGAAGAACTTTAACTGAACTAAAAAGAAGAAATAGGTTCAGTTCTGCCAACAACATTTTAAATTCAGATTTTTCAATGGGATAAAATTGATTCATAATTCTTGTTCAAAATAGATCTTTTGAAATACTAAAATACTGAATGATTCGGCAAATCCTGCTAGAATGTGAAACACAAGCAAACATCTTTAGAAGAGAAATTTATAAATTCCGCTCCATTAGGGAGTTTTTTGAGAGGGTGACCCTTTTTTGGGCAACGTGACCCCTAAAATGGGCCCCCCATTTTATGGCCGGCCAAACTTGAGAAGAGGTCGGAACAGTGTGAAGAGCACTGTGATGAAGTGTGGGCAGCATCGAGCTGCATCTCCAACACGTCCAATTACATCCCTTTTAAGGTGGCTAATGGGAAAGCCATTATGGGTAACTGGTAACATGAGATGGTCAGGTGACCACTTTGGCGTTAAATCATGCTATCTTGTGACCTCACGTGTCTCATTACTTGCCGCTCTGGAGGGTAGCAAGGAAATATTCTACAGATCCGAGCAAGGAAAGAGCTAGGTTGACATACAAGTAGGCCTGGGACCACTCAATGGGCAGTTTTAATACTTTCAACACTACTATATAACAAATAATTTGAGGTAAGATTAAGTTCCAATGTGTAACTGGTTCTCTCCGGAGACCAGACCTCACATCTTTTGGTAAGCCTTCCACAAGGAGGGCTCTAATAAACGATGCAATGATAAAGATAAACAGAGCTCCCGATGTATCCCGACAGCCAGCTCCGAGTCAGGTCCTCTTAGCATGGTTTTGTGATCACAACCAAAAAGTAGCCAGCAATGTTGTTACAATCAAAGTGCTAATCGCCAGCCATAAACCTAATATTCGCAGGAACTGGGGAATTAATTATTAAATGTAGTGGCCGTAATTTCATAACTTTCGGATACGGCCATACTCGGTTGAATACACCCCATCTCGTTCGATCTGGGAAGTTAAGCAACTGCAGGCCGGGTTAGTACTTGGATGGGTGACCGCCTGGGAATTCCCGGTGCCGTATCCTTTTGCAAATGATTTGTTAATTTCCTCATTTTTTGAGAGGGTGACCCTTTTTTGGGCAACGTGACCCCTAAAATGGGCCCCCCATTTTATGGCCGGCCAAACTTGAGAAGAGGTCGGAACAGTGTGAAGAGCACTGTGATGAAGTGTGGGCAGCATCGAGCTGCATCTCCAACACGTCCAATTACATCCCTTTTAAGGTGGCTAATGGGAAAGCCATTATGGGTAACATGAGATGGTCAGGTGACCACTTTGGCGTTAAATCATGCTATCTTGTGACCTCACGTGTCTCATTACTTGCCGCTCTGGAGGGTAGCAAGGAAATATTCTACAGATCCGAGCAAGGAAAGAGCTAGGTTGACATACAAGTAGGCCTGGGACCACTCAATGGGCAGTTTTAATACTTTCAACACTACTATATAACAAATAATTTGAGGTAAGATTAAGTTCCAATGTGTAACTGGTTCTCTCCGGAGACCAGACTTCACATCTTTTGGTAAGCCTTCCACAAGGAGGGCTCTAATAAACGATGCAATAATATAGATACACAGAGCCTTCCCGATGTGTCCCGACAGCCAGCTCCGAGTCAGATCCTCTTAGCATGGTTTTGTGATCACAACCAAAAAGTAGCCAGCAATGTTGTTACAATCAAAGTGCTAATCGCCAGCCATAAACCTAATATTCGCAGGAACTGGGGAATTAATTATTAAATGTAGTGGCCGTAATTTCATGACTTTTTTTGAGAGGGTGACCCTTTTTTGGGCAACGTGACCCCTAAAATGGGCCCCCCATTTTAAGGCCGGCCAAACTTGAGAAGAGGTCGGAACAGTGTGAAGAGCACTGTGATGAAGTGTGGGCAGCATCGAGCTGCATCTCCAACACGTCCAATTACATCCCTTTTAAGGTGGCTAATGGGAAAGCCATTATGGGCAACATGAGATGGTCAGGTGACCACTTTGGCGTTAAATCATGCTATCTTGTGACCTCACGTGTCTCATTACTTGCCGCTCTGGAGGGTAGCAAGGAAACATTCTACAGATCCGAGCAAGGAAAGAGCTAGGTTGACATATAAGTAGGCCTGGGACCACTCAATGGGCAGTTTTAATACTTTCAACACTACTATATAACAAATAATTTGAGGTAAGATTAAGTTCCAATGTGTAACTGGTTCTCTCCGGAGACCAGACCTCACATCTTTTGGTAAGCCTTCCACAAGGAGGGCTCTAATAAACGATGCAATGATAAAGATAAACAGAGCTCCCGATGTATCCCGACAGCCAGCTCCGAGTCAGATCCTCTTAGCATGGTTTTGTGATCACAACCAAAAAGTAGCCAGCAATGTTGTTACAATCAAAGTGCTAATCGCCAGCCATAAACCTAATATTCGCAGGAACTGGGGAATTAATTATTAAATGTAGTGGCCGTAATTTCATGACTTTTTTTGAGAGGGTGACCCTTTTTTGGGCAACGTGACCCCTAAAATGGGCCCCCCATTTTAAGGCCGGCCAAACTTGAGAAGAGGTCGGAACAGTGTGAAGAGCACTGTGATGAAGTGTGGGCAGCATCGAGCTGCATCTCCAACACGTCCAATTACATCCCTTTTAAGGTGGCTAATGGGAAAGCCATTATGGGCAACATGAGATGGTCAGGTGACCACTTTGGCGTTAAATCATGCTATCTTGTGACCTCACGTGTCTCATTACTTGCCGCTCTGGAGGGTAGCAAGGAAACATTCTACAGATCCGAGCAAGGAAAGAGCTAGGTTGACATATAAGTAGGCCTGGGACCACTCAATGGGCAGTTTTAATACTTTCAACACTACTATATAACAAATAATTTGAGGTAAGATTAAGTTCCAATGTGTAACTGGTTCTCTCCGGAGACCAGACTTCACATCTTTTGGTAAGCCTTCCACAAGGAGGGCTCTAATAAACGATGCAATAATATAGATACACAGAGCCTTCCCGATGTGTCCCGACAGCCAGCTCCGAGTCAGATCCTCTTAGCATGGTTTTGTGATCACAACCAAAAAGTAGCCAGCAATGTTGTTACAATCAAAGTGCTAATCGCCAGCCATAAACCTAATATTCGCAGGAACTGGGGAATTAATTATTAAATGTAGTGGCCGTAATTTCATAACTTTCGGATACGGCCATACTCGGTTGAATACACCCCATCTCGTTCGATCTGGGAAGTTAAGCAACTGCAGGCCGGGTTAGTACTTGGATGGGTGACCGCCTGGGAATTCCCGGTGCCGTATCCTTTTGCAAATGATTTGTTAATTTCCTCATTTTTTGAGAGGGTGACCCTTTTTTGGGCAACGTGACCCCTAAAATGGGCCCCCCATTTTATGGCCGGCCAAACTTGAGAAGAGGTCGGAACAGTGTGAAGAGCACTGTGATGAAGTGTGGGCAGCATCGAGCTGCATCTCCAACACGTCCAATTACATCCCTTTTAAGGTGGCTAATGGGAAAGCCATTATGGGTAACATGAGATGGTCAGGTGACCACTTTGGCGTTAAATCATGCTATCTTGTGACCTCACGTGTCTCATTACTTGCCGCTCTGGAGGGTAGCAAGGAAATATTCTACAGATCCGAGCAAGGAAAGAGCTAGGTTGACATACAAGTAGGCCTGGGACCACTCAATGGGCAGTTTTAATACTTTCAACACTACTATATAACAAATAATTTGAGGTAAGATTAAGTTCCAATGTGTAACTGGTTCTCTCCGGAGACCAGACCTCACATCTTTTGGTAAGCCTTCCACAAGGAGGGCTCTAATAAACGATGCAATGATAAAGATAAACAGAGCTCCCGATGTATCCCGACAGCCAGCTCCGAGTCAGATCCTCTTAGCATGGTTTTGTGATCACAACCAAAAAGTAGCCAGCAATGTTGTTACAATCAAAGTGCTAATCGCCAGCCATAAACCTAATATTCGCAGGAACTGGGGAATTAATTATTAAATGTAGTGGCCGTAATTTCATGACTTTTTTTGAGAGGGTGACCCTTTTTTGGGCAACGTGACCCCTAAAATGGGCCCCCCATTTTAAGGCCGGCCAAACTTGAGAAGAGGTCGGAACAGTGTGAAGAGCACTGTGATGAAGTGTGGGCAGCATCGGGCTGCATCTCCAACACGTCCAATTACATCCCTTTTAAGGTGGCTAATGGGAAAGCCATTATGGGCAACATGAGATGGTCAGGTGACCACTTTGGCGTTAAATCATGCTATCTTGTGACCTCACGTGTCTCATTACTTGCCGCTCTGGAGGGTAGCAAGGAAACATTCTACAGATCCGAGCAAGGAAAGAGCTAGGTTGACATATAAGTAGGCCTGGGACCACTCAATGGGCAGTTTTAATACTTTCAACACTACTATATAACAAATAATTTGAGGTAAGATTAAGTTCCAATGTGTAACTGGTTCTCTCCGGAGACCAGACTTCACATCTTTTGGTAAGCCTTCCACAAGGAGGGCTCTAATAAACGATGCAATAATATAGATACACAGAGCCTTCCCGATGTGTCCCGACAGCCAGCTCCGAGTCAGATCCTCTTAGCATGGTTTTGTGATCACAACCAAAAAGTAGCCAGCAATGTTGTTACAATCAAAGTGCTAATCGCCAGCCATAAACCTAATATTCGCAGGAACTGGGGAATTAATTATTAAATGTAGTGGCCGTAATTTCATGACTTTTTTTGAGAGGGTGACCCTTTTTTGGGCAACGTGACCCCTAAAATGGGCCCCCCATTTTAAGGCCGGCCAAACTTGAGAAGAGGTCGGAACAGTGTGAAGAGCACTGTGATGAAGTGTGGGCAGCATCGAGCTGCATCTCCAACACGTCCAATTACATCCCTTTTAAGGTGGCTAATGGGAAAGCCATTATGGGCAACATGAGATGGTCAGGTGACCACTTTGGCGTTAAATCATGCTATCTTGTGACCTCACGTGTCTCATTACTTGCCGCTCTGGAGGGTAGCAAGGAAACATTCTACAGATCCGAGCAAGGAAAGAGCTAGGTTGACATATAAGTAGGCCTGGGACCACTCAATGGGCAGTTTTAATACTTTCAACACTACTATATAACAAATAATTTGAGGTAAGATTAAGTTCCAATGTGTAACTGGTTCTCTCCGGAGACCAGACTTCACATCTTTTGGTAAGCCTTCCACAAGGAGGGCTCTAATAAACGATGCAATAATATAGATACACAGAGCCTTCCCGATGTATCCCGACAGCCAGCTCCGAGTCAGGTCCTCTTAGCATGGTTTTGTGATCACAACCAAAAAGTAGCCAGCAATGTTGTTACAATCAAAGTGCTAATCGCCAGCCATAAACCTAATATTCGCAGGAACTGGGGAATTAATTATTAAATGTAGTGGCCGTAATTTCATAACTTTCGGATACGGCCATACTCGGTTGAATACACCCCATCTCGTTCGATCTGGGAAGTTAAGCAACTGCAGGCCGGGTTAGTACTTGGATGGGTGACCGCCTGGGAATTCCCGGTGCCGTATCCTTTTGCAAATGATTTGTTAATTTCCTAATTTTTTGAGAGGGTGACCCTTTTTTGGACAATGTGACCCCTAAAATGGGCCCCCCCATTCTATGGCCGGCTAAACTTGAGAAGAGGTCGGAACAGTGTGAAGAGCACTGTGATGAAGTGTGGGCAGCATCGAGCTGCATCTCCAACACGTCCAATTACATCCCTTTTAAGGTGGCTAATGGGAAAGCCATTATGGGCAACATGAGATGGTCAGGTGACCACTTTGGCGTTAAATCATGCTATCTTGTGACCTCACGTGTCTCATTACTTGCCGCTCTGGAGGGTAGCAAGGAAACATTCTACAGATCCGAGCAAGGAAAGAGCTAGGTTGACATATAAGTAGGCCTGGGACCACTCATTGGGCAGTTTTAAAACTTTCAACACTACTATATAACAAATAATTTGAGGTAAGATTAAGTTCCAATGTGTAAATGGTTCTCTCCGGAGACCAGACCTCACATCTTTTGGTAAGCCTTCCACAAGGAGGGCTCTAATAAACGATGCAATAATATAGATACACAGAGCCTTCCCGATGTATCCCGACAGCCAGCTCCGAGTCAGGTCCTCTTAGCATGGTTTTGTGATCACAACCAAAAAGTAGCCAGCAATGTTGTTACAATCAAAGTGCTAATCGCCAGCCATAAACCTAATATTCGCAGGAACTGGGGAATTAATTATTAAATGTAGTGGCCGTAATTTCATAACTTTCGGATACGGCCATACTCGGTTGAATACACCCCATCTCGTTCGATCTGGGAAGTTAAGCAACTGCAGGCCGGGTTAGTACTTGGATGGGTGACCGCCTGGGAATTCCCGGTGCCGTATCCTTTTGCAAATGATTTGTTAATTTCCTCATTTTTTGAGAGGGTGACCCTTTTTTGGGCAACGTGACCCCTAAAATGGGCCCCCCATTTTATGGCCGGCCAAACTTGAGAAGAGGTCGGAACAGTGTGAAGAGCACTGTGATGAAGTGTGGGCAGCATCGAGCTGCATCTCCAACACGTCCAATTACATCCCAAGAAAGTGAAACTCATTTTATATTTCTGCCTTTGGATTCATCACCTGACTCAGCAAGCCCACGGTAACATTCAGTTCCTCTTTCTTTATCCTGTTTTGAAACTGTCACTCTAATTTTATTCTGCGGCGCCGTAACTCAAGATTTCATCATCACCTGACTAAACAGTAAACAAGCTCAGTATCTCTTTCTTTATGCTCAGTTTCTCTTTCTTTATGCAGCCCTCTATTCGGAGGGGCAGATTAAGAAAGAGGAACTATGATTCTGCTGTTGTTCGAGGCGAGACATTACGGACGATTAGCAGATAGCAGCTCTGCAATGTCACGTGTTGCACACTGCACAGTGCACACGGTGAGAGTCAAGCACGTCACGTGGTGCACACGGTGAGAGTCAAGCACGTCACGTGGTGTGACGTCACGATTAGGGTTGTGCAGCAGATTAAGAAAGAGAAACTATTACCTTCATCGTGCATCAGGCATCTATATTCTATATTATATAAGATTAAGAAAGAGAAACATCAGGCGTCTATATTCTATATTATATAAGATTAAGAAAGAGAAACATCAGGCGTCTATATTCTATATTATATAAGATTAAGAAAGAGAAACATCAGGCGTCTATATTCTATATATAAGAAGGTTCAATCTGGTCAGTTTTATAAGTTCTCTCATATGTCATTGCCTGTCTTGCCTTACACAAGTTACAGGCCTTGTTACAGGTCTTATTATCTGTACACTCTTCTTTCACACACCATTTTATTTTCTTTTATGGAATGATTAAGGTTTTTATGCAATGGAGATTCGGAGAATGGTTTAATCGGTGGTTTTTATTTATCCTTAGTGATACTAGAGTACTAGACTAAAATAGCCTTTTGTCATTATTTATCATTAATTATAGCGGCGGGTTCTATCTGAAATACATACGTAATACTAATTATATCACAAAATGTTGCTCCCGGACAGAGTGTATTGAGGGAGGGAGTGTGGGAGGGAGCATATTGGCCTTCTTGCCATTTACCGGTCGCCCTGACATCATGCTTGGTGCTAACTGTCGGGACGCGGTGCTTTATACTTTTATAGGAAGTTCAATTGTGATACGTTAAAGTATGTTTAATGTTAAGTATGTTTAATATTAAGTGTGTTTAATGTTAAGTATGTTTAATGGTTAGGGTTAAGGTTAGTCTAAATTGTCTAAATTGGGTTCATTTGCCGATACACTAGTACTAGAATATTAGTCGTTACCAGTTTGCTAGATAGTATCATTTACTCATTTAGTGTTACTTACTTATGTTACTTATGTGATGCTTTAGCTGCGCTGCAGCAGGGCCATCAACTGAAATGACCACCCTTATGCTTTACTTCGGACAACCATGGCTTTATAGTCACGGCATGTAACCGGCACTTACAGGAAACCGAAGGATCAAGTCTAACGCCAGCGACGGTTAAGGTATTATACCACACTTTCTTCGCCCGAAGCTTCGCTGTATTGATCATGTACAGCTCCTCATTTAACCCTCACACACGATTTCTCGAGCATTCGGCTGAGTAGACCGGGGGGCTGCATAGGTCCAACGGAACCCTTAGCAGAGCGTCAACGACGCTCACCCCATGGCTAGCGGCACAGACGGGAATCGAACCTGGGACCCTGTGAATGCGAGGCATTTCACAAGCAAGCTGACTAACGAACTGCGCCACATAGCCATCATAGTGTCTGTGATGTTAGATGTACACCAAAACAACAAAATGCAATGTGTTGTTCAGCATATTTCCCACAATTAATCCAATCGTTACTACAATATTAAGTTCATTATAAATTAGAACTTAAGTTTATGCTGATTAACTTTAATAAGATAATGAATAATCATGTTAATGATTACCTAATAACTATAAAATACATATAACATATACATATAATTCTAGCAACAGCTTCAACCCAATCCAAGATGAGATCTATGCTTATTGCGCTATGCCTGGTTCTCACCGAAGGTAGCTAACTTAATGTGCTTTATTTTTCAGTTTATACAACATATTACTATCAATAACACTTGCTAATTGAGATAATAGTATCACTTATTTTATTATTAACTCGTCTGAACTTGATGAATGATTATCTCCAATTCCAACTAATCTACCTTGCAATGTTCCTCAAGCAACCAGCAAGAGCTTCATGTGCTACGATTTCTCATTTGACTCAAAAACGAGGGTGTTCGCCCAAGCAGTCAACCCCACAACTTGCCCAATAGAAACCGATCCTGTTTGCAACATGTTAGTTTATCATAATTGAATTTAAACTTGTTTTGAGATCTAATCTAAATTACACTAAAATCAGGGTGGACCAAAATTAACTCAATCTCTTCAGTCTAGTAGAAGTATTCTCACAGTATTCTCACAGTATTCTCACAGTATTCTCACAGTATTCTCACAGTATTCTCACAGTATTCTCACAGTATTCTCACAGTATTCTGACAGTATTCTCACAGTATTCTGACAGTATTCTCACAGTATTCTCACAGTATTCTCACAGTATTCTCACAGTATTCTCACAGTATTCTCACAGTATTCTCACAGTATTCTCACAGTATTCTCACAGTATTCTCACAGTATTCTCACAGTATTCTCACAGTATTCTCACAGCATTCTCACAGCATTCTCACAACTTATTCTCACAGTATTCTCACAGTATTCTCACAGTATTCTCACAGTATTCTCACAGTATTTTCACAGTCAGCTCAGGACAGTCTGTACAGTTTGTCATTGTTCACGATGAGACTGAATTTTATCAATATTCGTGATATGATAGATATCGCCGAAGTAACGTCTATGAATAGTAATTTTTCAAATTTCCATTAAGTTTAACATACTTGATACTGCACAATTTCAGTCCCGACATCACTGCCATGAACGACTATATCAGCCCCAACGCTGGATGTGGCCCCTGTGCAGCTAACAGCACATGTCATGAGTGTAAAGGAGATGGATGTAACTCTGCCACTACCATCACTACCTTCTTCCCCCTCCCCCTCTCCCTCGTCACTCTTATCTACAATCTTATCTACACTCTGGTATAAGGAGGACTCTATTATGATTCCGTTTGATTCAGCAATTTATAAATTTTTAATACGTACTTCTTTTAAGGCATAATGCCAATTGGCATAATGCCAATTGACAGTTTTATTAGCTTTAAAAGAGCTTTTTATCTGACTGATGGAATTCTTTTAATATTACAGAGAGATTGAGATAATTCTTTCTGTTATGACTGTAGAATCAAATTAGTGCTAGGATTAGAATTGATTTTGAAACTGAAATTGTGTTTGCTAAGTGACATATTGGTTTTTAATAAAGAGTTTGAATTGTTAAAATCCGATTACATTCCTTTTAAGGTGACTTATAAAAATTCCAATGTGAGCATCAATCAACATGAGATGGTCAGGTGACTACTTTGGCGTCTCACGTGTCAAACAGCTCCAAATGTATCCCCCGACAGCCGTGTCTTGATCAGTATGTGGTAGTTTCTCTTATATTATTAGGAGGTTTAGTTTTCTCTTATATTATTAGGAGGTTTAGTTTTCTCTTATATTATTAGGAGGTTTAGTTTTCTCTTATATTATTAGGAGGTTTAGTTTTCTCTTATATTATTAGGAGGTTTAGTTTTCTCTTATATTATTAGGAGGTTTAGTTTTCTCTTATATTATTAGGAGGTTTAGTTCTCTCTTATATTATTAGGAGGTTTAGTTTTCTCTTATATTATTAGGAGGTTTAGTTTTCTCTTATATTATTAGGAGGTTTAGTTTTCTCTTATATTATTAGGAGGTTTAGTTTTCTCTTATATTATTAGGAGGTTTAGTTTTCTCTTATATTATTAGGAGGTTTAGTTTTCTCTTATATTATTAGGAGGTTTAGTTTTCTCTTATTTTATTAGGAGGTTTAGTTTTCTCTTATATTATTAGGAGGTTTAGTTTTCTCTTATTTTATTAGGAGGTTTAGTTTTCTCTTATATTATTAGGAGGTTTAGTTTTCTCTTATATTATTAGGAGGTTTAGTTTTCTCTTATTTTATTAGGAGGTTTAGTTTTCTCTTATATTATTAGGAGGTTTAGTTCTCTCTTATATTATTAGGAGGGTCGCCGCTCTACACTCAGCAGGCTTAGTCCTACAGGTAGGGCTACATCCTGAACTGTATCTATGATAGTATGGTAACCTACACTTGTGTCCTACACTTGTGTCCTACACTTGTGTCCTACACTTGTGTCATACACTTGTGTCCTACACTTGTGTCCTACACTTGTGTCTAACACTTGTGTCCTATACTTGTGTCCTACACTAAACACTTGTGTCCTACACTTGTGTCCTACACTTGTGTCCTCCACTTGTGTCCTACACTTGTGTCCTACACTTGTGTCCTACACTTGTGTCCTACACTTGTGTCCTACACTTGTGTCCTACACTTGTGTCCTACACTTGTGTCCTACACCGGGGGAACTGTTGAGACCTCAGTAGACTTCACCTTTTGATGTGGCCTCAATGAAGGTAGGGTGGGCGCCAAAACGTCAGGATATGGTTATTGGTTACCGAATAGTTTGATTAATACTAATTACTAGGGCCCAATATTCGGCATTTGATAATAGAATATCTAACTAACCGGAATTTCAAGTTAAATGTAAGTTCTTACCGCTATTATTCTTAGAACTTGAAACTTCAGAGGTCTGACTAGCTATACTCCTATTCGCCTGAAATTATCAAACAGTAACAAAACTACACACTACACGTGCTACTACTACTATCAAACAGTTACCTAACAACAGTAATAGTACAACTACTATCAAACAGTAGTGTTACCCGGCCCAAACAGTTAGCAACAGGTATGTAACCATAGCAACAGGAATGTAACCATAGCAAACAGTTAGGTGAAAATTGAGAATTGAGATCCTGAATGAAAGCAGAACATTATTTTTGATACATTTATTTTCATTAAGTCTTTCTCTCAAATCATTTTTTGAATATTCTAAGTCCAATATTCTGAAGCAAGCAAAATGTTATTAAAAATACACTAAATTAAGTTAATTTTAACATACACTGTTACTATCGACAGATTCCCAACTTATATCGTGCATTTCCGTCACCTCGCCCTCTTTAACCCCGGCTATCATCCTCGCCTGAATAAAAAATAATAACAATGAAGGGCACACAATAACTAGAACCTTATTATTTTAATCTCTTTATATAGAGACTCTAGGTTATAGATTCGTTCTAGTATGTCATACTAGAACGAATCTATATGCTAGAGTGAGTAACAAGTAGGGTAACTAGTAGGGTAACTAGTAGGGTAACTATGGTAATTATGGTAACTATGGTAACCTCGTACAGGAGATCCAGTGTTTCTGTGTAGCAGCTCACCTCCCAGATTATATCATGTGATTCCCAGTCGGACATTGAGTGGGGACACTTCATGCCTTCCTCCTGCAACACAAATATTTCAAATACCTGCACATTCCGAAAACTAGGTATACAATTTACGGGTTCCAATATTGGAAGGTTTTAGATATTTGTCCCATCTGCAGGACTGGTTAGTTCTCTGGGATGTTTATTAAACTGTCGGAGAGCTACAGGAGGGGGGGGGTGTAGATTAACAGTGTTATATAACGAAATAACTGACACTAGCTTGAGTAGGAGGCTGCAAGAGGGCTGCATGCAGTTTCAGCATTGTCCCGTAAGTTAACACAAAGTGTCCAGTAGGAGTTCCCTCTTCCAGAGTCTGAGCCCAGGTCACTAGTTGTACTGGGTAGAGGCTGTACAGTGTTACCATGTAGTGGAAACAGATCCGCTGTATCAGCTCCCACGGTTTACCTCCTGGGGGAAACATGTTACCTCCTGGGGGAAACATTTATAGTGTAAAGCCGTAGTACATACATATTACATTACACTGAATCGAACTTACACAGTGTAATTTCCTCCAGTCTGCACCGCGCGCCTATATAAACGTACTCGGCGCAGACTGGAGGAAATTACACTGTGTAAGGCGTAAGCTCTAGTGTAATGTAATAAGTATGTACTACGGCTTAATTCATCATGTGATATGAATTTTGCTCTAAAGAAGTAGCCTAGCATTGTTTCCCTTCGTCCAAAATGCAATACACATGGTTTATAGTATGTAAGTATGTAAGTAGTGTATGTAATGCTATTTCTGTATTATGCATTATATCTTTTAAAACTCATATGAAATTTGACACTCGTCTTAATGAACCATTGTTGAAGCTTATCACAGCATATATATCACACTGATTATTCTAATTGTACATTACCTTTCTTCTGATAGGTAATGTATAGGAAAACAAATAAAACATTACCTTTCTTCTGATAGGTAATGTATAGGAAAACATTACCTTTCTTCTGATAGGTAATGTATAGGAAAACAAATAAAACATTACCTTTCTTCTGATAGGTAATGCATAGGAAAAAAAAAAACATTACCTTTCTTCTGATAGGTAATGTATAGGAAAACAAATAAAACATTACCTTTCTTCTGATAGGTAATGTAAAGGAAAACAAATAAAACATTACCTTTCTTCTGATAGGTAATGTATAGGAAAACAAATACAACATTACCTTTCTTCTGATAGGTAATGTATAGGAAAACATTACCTTTCTTCTGATAGGTAATGTATAGGAAAACAAATAAAACATTACCTTTCTTCTTCTGATAGGTAATGTATAGGAAAACAAATAAAACATTACCTTTCTTCTTCAATATGTAATGTATAGGAAAACAAATAAAACATTACCTTTCTTTTGATAGGTAATGTATAGTAAAACAAATAAAACATTACCTTTCTTCTTCAATATGTAATGCATAGGAAAACAAATAAAACATTACCTTTCTTCTGATAGGTAATGTATAGGAAAACATTACCTTTCTTCTGATAGGTAATGTATAGGAAAACAAATAAAACATTACCTTTCTTCTTCTGATAGGTAATGTATAGGAAAACAAATAAAACATTACCTTTCTTCTTCAATATGTAATGTATAGGAAAACAAATAAAACATTACCTTTCTTTTGATAGGTAATGTATAGTAAAACAAATAAAACATTACCTTTCTTCTTCAATATGTAATGCATAGGAAAACAAATAAAACATTACCTTTCTTCTGATAGGTAATGTATAGTAAAACAAATAAAACATTACCTTTCTTCTTCAATATGTAATGCATAGGAAAACAAATAAAACATTACCTTTCTTCTGATAGGTAATGTATAGGAAAACAAATAAAACATTACCTTTCTTCTGATAGGTAATGTATAGGAAAACAAATAAAACATTACCTTTCTTCTGATAAACAGTGAGAACTTGGTCTAGAAGAGAGAACAGTTCGTTTAGAGAGGCCTCCAGTCGCACAGGAGAAAGAGGGAGTAACATGGAAACAAACACCAGTCCTAGTGGCATACACTCCGCACTGTCTTCTGACTGAGGATATCTCAAACTTACATAGCTTGGAAATTTGCACAAATGTCTATCTATAAACTTTAGGACTTGGAAGCGTTTTGTAACTAACTTTACATGTTAGCCGATAGAATATGAATATAATAGGTTTACACAAGTTACACCCTTAATAATAACCCTGATAAACTAAAATACCTTGAAAGCAGCTAGCATATCATTGAGCATTGGGTGGCCGACAAATAGATACATCCAAGAAGGCTCCGGGTCACACCTCAGTAGAGTGGTGAGAAGAACCAGAGTAGGTTTCAGATTGTGAGAGGGTAACCGGACAAACTCAAGATACAACTGAAAACACGGTTATTTATTTATTATCGTCGTGTTATGTGGGATGTTGGTTCTACAGAACATCTTATCACATGATGTGTCAAACACCTACTGTCAATATTTTTATGATTGTTTTTAATTCTAAATATTGTATAATAAGATCCAAACTATCAGCACTGTTTATAATTTACCCAGTGTTTATAATTTACCCACACTCCACAGGCAGTAATCAGTTTAGTTCATTATTGTTATATAAAATTGCTGTGCTGTTTCTTACCGAATCATAAAGAAGCTGTGCTCTGCTTTCAGTGGCAAGAGATATGATGATGTGCATCACATTCTCAGAAAACGAAACATAATACTGCTCAATCAGCAAGATCAAAACTTGATCATTTTCTGATATGCTGCTATTAACCTGGAATACAGAAATATTTCAACCTAAATCATTTCTAAATATCCTGAGTTTCACTCACTAATGGTTGACCCAAAAATGAAACATTGTTAGTTAGAATTTGATATAATAACGTAACTACTCCCTGCTACTAGAGTGATGGGATCATATAACTACCATGATTATATAATATATAATTTTAGTACTTTAAAACATACAATACATGTAGGTAAAACATACAATCTGAATTGCAGCGTTTCTCTCCTTGATGTCCCTACTATCCAGCTGCATGATTATCTCATCTATTGGTAACTTCTCCATTTCCTGTTTGATGTTCACTTGTTGTCACCTTCAATTTTATTTGTACAATTACGAATTAGCTAAATAAACTAATCAGTTTGTGTATCTTTATGTGATGTTAGGAGAAGGGTAAGTTACATTTAGGTATGTTGTGTAAAAGATATACACTGGTAAAATCTCTAAAAAAGTGTGTTTTTAAATCAAAACGGGTAGTTTCGCAACATCAATAATAATCAGTTAAACAAAATATTTCAGTTAAACAAAAATTTCAATTTTATGCCATTTATTACAGAATAAACAAGTTAACAATAAATCGATTTGATATTTAAAGGACTCCTAATTCAATGTGTAGTATGGTTGTCACTCTGAATAGATTAGAATAGATTAGATATAGGTTGACGGGGCAAAGGAGTGTGCGTGCTGTTCGCTATTGCTCACACCAAACGGCAACCTAGTAAATGTTTTGTATGGACACTGGTCTCCATCACGATACAAAATTAGGATAGTAGAATTTATTGTAAAACAATTAGGAGTGGAGGTAGCGGTGTGGTGACAGCCCACTGATTTAGAGTTGTTTTTAAATGAGCATAATGGGTATATTTTTGGACCTAAAGCAAAGGCGCAGGCTGCAGTATGGCAACTTTAAAATTGGTTCTTTTCTAATAATTTATTAAATATCAGTTTAAAAATATATGAATCTGGGATCTGTTCAGTGTCCAGTCCTATACAAATTTGAAAAAGCCTCCTAAATTAAATATTATAAACGTCTCAATAATGGAAATAGTCACACAATTAAGAAATTTACCAAATTCTTAATATCTACCTAAGAGAAAAATACCTACCTAAATTAATTGCTACCTGTAATACACTAAATATTAGGTTAAATACATAGGTGGTGGAGTCAGCACAAATTTACCAAAATCAAATTGTTTAATAGGAGGAACCTGTGGGCCGAGAACACTGGATTAAATTTGTTGAAGGGGATTGTTTTCAAATGACAGCTGCATTATGTTATGTCACTTGAGGTCCATGCTGAATCATTATAAGCATGTTGCAGCTTTAGAAGTGCCTTTTTCAGGCAACTTTTAGCAAGGCTAATCTTGTAGGAGTAGTCAAAAAGCTTAAGTTTAGGTGCAATTGTGCTCCAAATTTTGGTGGATCTTGATACAAAGTCATTAGATGGGAGTTGTGAGATGAGAGTGGTTTCCTTTCTAGAAGATAGCTGATTATGCTGTTGCAGTGATGTTGAGCATCTGAGTTTTAGTACTTTCAAAACTTCCATAAATGTGTGATATGTATATAAATTTTTGAAAACCAGGATGTTTTGTTGCTTGAAAAGTGGTTTAAAGTGCTCTAGTTGGGAGAATGTATGGTCAAGTGCCTGGTTGTCAAACTGTCTTGTTCTTGCACATGTTAGGAACTTGTTTAGGTATGCCTCTTTATCACCAAAGAGGACACGTACCCAGTGCTTCTGAGGCAGCCAGATACTTGCTGTCCTAAAGAGTGCTGCATCACCCCAAACTGAGATACAATACAGTGTGTTGCTACACACTGTATAGCATGTGGATCAAGCGCGGTGCCGCGCCTAAGCAGCAAAAGAGTTATTTATTTTAAAATTTATTTTTGTATCTCAAAAATGATGTAAAGTTTTTAATATGACGTAGAATTAAAGCTATTTCCGTACAGCCTAAGTGCTAAGCATGCTCGTTAGAAAAACTATGAACAATGAACATAACATGCTAGCTTTCTTTATTTTTGTAAGTCGCGTCGGCTGACATCTTGGGTTGTACTGGATGTAACAAGTTTATTATCGGATGTCTACTTATATTTATTATGATATCATTATTCATTGTAATGGCAATAAAATTTAAATTTTGTTTTACTTAAAATTTTGTTTTACTTAATATGTAAGGTGGGATTCAATTAGTGTGTGGTAGAGGTCTTTATGGAGTTCCTTCGGTACAGAGTCCCTAATTCTATTTAAGGTTGCAGAGGCATAGTTTAATTTACGTTTAAGTGCTGTTATATGAGCCATGAGGCCACCGGGAAAGCTTTTTTTTTTTTTTTTTTTTTTTTTTTTTTTTTGTCGCGACACCCACTGACCACCGTCATATAGAGGTGGCGACCCTCCACTTGGGGAGCGTACTACTGGAGTCCATCCAGCTGCAATAAGCCCCTTCCCTGAGGGCCACTGGATGATAATACCTGTTAAGGTATCAGCCGAATCGGGGTTGCACCTCCGGAGATTTACTAACTTGGTCCCTAGGGAAGTTCTGGGTGGTTACCCTGGCCGCTCAACACCATGAAAGGATGACGCCCGTGCTGAGTACTGCTGGCTCTTGAGACTCGGTGAGACGTAGGTTGCTAATGGCGGTTGCGGGTGTGCTAACGATTGGATAGTGTGTTAGGTGGTGGGGAACTGTATTGATACTATCTGCCTTTTGGTGGCTGAGCTAAAACGTGAGGGTTTGTGGACACAGGAAATACAGGTTCTGATCCAGGGTCCATTTATGCCATTACACACATTACACACGTTTGGTGTGGTAACTACTATACAATACTCCCATTACACTCCCATATTGTAGCGATACTCCCATTACACTCCCACATTGTAGCGATACTCCCATTACACATTGTAGCGATACTCCCATTACACTCCCATATTGTAGCGATACTCCCATTCAGTGGCGTAACGTTACTTTGTGCCGCCCCCCTGCTAATTGAAATTTGCCGCCCCTATCCGGAGCCGGCTCGCTTCGCTTGCCGAGATTTGTCCGTCGCGTGAGGTTACAGTGTAGTGTGTATATTGTGTAATCAGTAATGTTTACCAACACGACGTCTAAGAAAACAAAGCAAATTAAATTTTGACCAAGACGCGCGCGTGTTAAACCCACGAAATATTAAAATCGAGCCGCGCATAGGCAGCAAAAATATACCATTATATCGACCTCTATTAATTTTGTGCGCGTTCGCGTTGGATAAAATTTATTCACGTGGTCTGCTGCTTGCCTTGTGATTGGAGGAAATTGCATGTCAGTCGATGATATCAATGCGAGACACCGATACACGACGCACGTGTAGTTATCAGAATGCTAATCGTTTGTTATCTTGGTTTTACCGTATGGCGTGTGCCCTAGAATGTACTTTACTACGTCTTGCGTCTACCGTCTGGGCTCTGGCGAGTGGCGTCTACGTCATACGTGTACATTGTTGATTGTTGATTGTTGATAATTGATTGTTGATTGTAATTGTGTAAACTGTAGGCTTGTTGTCACTTGTGACTTCTGAAATCTGAGTTCTGACTGCTCACTGCTGACTGCTGAGTGCAGAAACTAAGCCGTTATCTGATAAGTTCCATGCCTATGAGCTATCAGTTGACAGTAAACAGTTATCATTTATCGTTATCTGCTATCACTTAAAAGTTATCAATCTTAATCTTGAATCTTAAGTTTTAATTTAAGTAAATTGTTGATCAATTCTATATTAAGTATTTCAACAGCTCATTTAGATCTCGTATTATTAACGGTATAGTAAAGTGTAAACGGTTGTTAATCTTATAGATCAATAATCAATTCAATTGACTCCATTGTTAACCTGCTGCCTGCAGTGTGCAGATTGCCACGACTAACTGCTATGACTAGTTTTTAGTAATGAATTGCAATATTGTGAACTCGACCGTCGACGTTCAATTTTGTTGATTGATCATTGATCATTGATCGGAATTGCCTAAGGTCAGCGGTGCTTTCGCCTTTCAGCTTTGCGCTGGCCGGTTCACGAGTCACAGTATTAATGATGTTTTTGTATGACGTTTGTTGATAAGTTAGGTCTTAGCCCTTAGGATTTAATCCCTGAGGGCTGATTTGCATTTTGCATAGAATCTTACTGTCGCATGGATATTTTCAGAGTCCGCCGTCCGGTCAAATGGGAAACTGGAAGGACTGCAAGCGCTACTGTATTCTTGGTCACGTACCCACTTGGGCCACCCGACTTTCGTCTTCCAACGTGAACTTCGTAAGTTAATATTAGTAATAACGTTTATTCCTGTACTGATGTGCAATATCCTACCCTCGTACCCCTACTGAAGCATGTGTTAAAGTTAGCTTTAATGTAGTTGACTCATCACTTGACATAGATTTTTAAAGCATGTTGCATGACTGTTGTCCACCAATTTAATCTACATGTGTCATATGCGTACATTTTTGTTATAGTCTGTGATTTTCCGCGATAGCCAACATTCCGTCACTCATCACTCATGTGATATGTCCATTGTCCTACCGCCCGAGAGCCACTCTTTTTAGGTTTGAAAATTAGCAATACTATTATTATAAATTATTATAGTTTTCTCTTTGTTAGGAGAGCCGCTCTGACATTAGTAGCTAGTACCATTCTTGGTTATATAATAATTTGTTATTATTATTATTATTATTAACATGATAATAAGCTGCAGGCTGCTCACTACTCATCATCATGTATACAATATATCTAATTCGACAATCAATCGCATTGCAATTTGTAATTGACGACGACCAACCTCTTGATTGATTATTTTTTCACAACAGTTAACATGAAGCGTACTAAAGAATCTGGGGCAGCGTACAGAAACAAGAAGAAGAAGAAGGAGGAGTTTATGAAGTCCTATCCCAAGATAACAAGCTTCACTGCAACTGCAGGACCAGCGTTCCCTACTGCCGCAGAAGCCCGAGTAGCAGCACAAGACGTGTATTGGCGGGAGGAGAGCCGTCCCGATCCAGTCGAGGAACCAGATGAAGAGTTGGACTCTCTCCTATTTGAATCGGACGACGAAACAGGTAAGAAAATTACTGGAGGAACCCCAAAATAATAGGTCTTTACTAATTTACTGAAATAGTGACATGATTCTCTAAAACTCCTGTTAGTGCAAGATAGTACATATAATTGACTTGTTATCATAACTCATAACTAATTACTAACAAATAGTAATACGGAGTATGATACGATAATCAGTCTATTATCTCGTCGTGAATGGTGTGATCTTAGATAT